AGACAGATAAACGCTTAACAGCGATCTTTAATTCCGATTTCAGTAAAAAACATGCTCATTCGTAAATTTCATCTTTYCCTTGAAATGTCTAAAAACAATTTGAAGTTGCATAGTAGCGCGCACTTCACTTCTCTTTTTAGCAGGATTCACATTTTCTTTGTTGGTCTTTTCCTGTTTGTTTTTCCTTTTCCTTTCTTTCTTGGGGGATTATTCTCCTAAAAATAGAATAAAACTCTCMAATTACCGACAATCTGATAAAAAATTGTTACTCATTGGATATTAGTACAAATTTCAATTTAAACGCACATACCTTTTTAACTTCGTTTTCATGTACCATGTTTATTAAGCTGCTTTCTTTTAAATGCAGTACAGTTGGATCATCTGAAAGAAATAAAAAAGAGACACTTTCAGAAGTTGCTTATCTTGTTATTTGTACTAATTGCATTAGACAGTGATGACTACAGAAGATTAATAAAATCTGGACAATAACTTACCAAGCACTGCAATTATTTCAGCATCATATGTTTCACTTCCATAGCGTACTTCAACCACACTTCCCTCTTCTGTTCTTTTTTCTGAACGCACAGAAAGTATTTTTTTGAAGGAACGATGCAGTACTTTGAATCGGAATGAAATAGTACCAGTGTATGACTTGTTTTAGGTTTTAAATCTGTTAAAGTTGTTTACGATTTGAAGTAGCTCTTGCCTGGATACTGCATCATTTAAATTTGTTGTTTGACTACATCTTTGTATACAATCCAGTGTAAACGGTCATTCTGAAGTTTCTCTAGAGCTTCTTGCACATTAACGATAATGTTCAACATTTACCTACCACAATGTAATTATTTTTCACACAGTGTTAAAAGTGGCACGCAGAACGGGATGCTTAATATCGAAATCAAATACTTATCATTAGTTGCTAATCGGCTGTCACCATAGCAATTAATAACTTTTGTCAGAAAATTTATCCAATAACATAGCTAGTTACCAGTTTCTTCAAAGGTGAATTGCTGATGCATTTTACGCATACTCCGTTATGCGAAGTTGTGTGTCGAAGAAGTAAATGTTACGTTTGTTTTTAGTTCAAAAGCTCAAAGGAATTTAAATTACAGCGTCAATTTTGTCATATTAACTCAATGAATGTTCGGATCCACCTACATACGGGTAATAATAAATATAACTCTGACTTCTTGTATTAAAAAAGCGATCATCTTTTAAACGACGTTTATGAGACAATTTTACGTTTTATACGACAGCAAATACAGTTTTGTAGTTACACCTGAAGGTTCTTTTTTTGTTTCAATATTCTTTCTATGAAAATATAAGTGTCTCTAGAGGAGCAGCGAACTTTGATAGTAAAAGTATATGATCTTATGCTACATGCCACATGTTGATTCAAAACATCAGAAGTGTGTTACGTAAGAAAAGAAAAACATCTAGGTGTTATCGCCTTGTCAGTGATCAGCTTTTTAAACTATAGATCGTATTCATGTGACGTCACGGCATAATCGGCCGCCATTTTGGAGCACATCTACCCACGTGTATCATATGTAAATTATGTAAACAAAACT